CGCCGTCTTCTCCTCCTGGATGAACATCCTGTCGATCATCACCATCTCCGCCGACGGGCTCACGCGCTGCGGAACCGGGAATGAGCGCCGGGAGCGCCGGGAACGCCGGGAATGTCGGGAATAACGGGGGGGGGGGCTCACCCGGGACTCCTCGAGCAGCAGCAGCCGGTACTTGTTGAGCATCGCCCGCGTCCGGCGCAGCAGCTGCTCCGACACCAGCGCGAACTCCTCGTCCACTGGGAGCGGGACACACGGACAGAGCGTGGGAACGGGATAACAACGGGAGCACGGGAATGGCCCAGGGCACCCCAGGAACACGGGAATGGGAACGGGAATGACCCCAGTCACCCCGGGATAATGGGAGCACGGGAACGGCCGGGGGCACCCCGGGAGAATGGGAACTGCTGGAGTCACCCCGGGAACACGGGAATGGGAATGGGAATGGGAACGGGAATGGGAATGGGAACGGGAATGAGAAGGGGAACGGGAATGACCCCAGTCACCCTGGGATAACGGGATAATGGGATCACGGGATAACAGGAACGGCCGGGGGCACCCCGGGAACACGGGAATGGGAACGGGGATGACCCCAGTCACCCTGGATAATGGGATAATGGGATCATGGGATCACGGGAACGGCCGGGGGCACCCCGGGAACACAGGAATGGGAACGGGAATGACCCCAGTCACCCCGGGATAATGGGATAATGGGATCATGGGAACGGCCGGGGGCACCCCAGGAACACGGGAATGGGAATGGCTGGAGTCACCCCGGGAGAATGGAAATGGGAACGGGAATGGCCCAGCCCCGTTCTCCCATTATCCCCCATTCCCACCGTGTTATCCCCCTCTCCCGCCATTCCCACCCCATTATCCCATTATCCCCCCATTCCCAGCCCCCTTATCCCCCTCTCCCCCCATTCCCAGCCCGTTATCCCATTATCCCCCATTCCCACCCCGTTCTCCCATTATCCCCCATTCCCAGCCCTGTTATCCCGCTGTCCCGCCGTTCCCAGCCCGTTATCCCGTTGTCCCGCCGTTCCCATCCCCTCACCCCTCTGGCACTCGGCCTCTGCCGGGAGCATCCCCTGGTAGACGTGGTAGGGGAGGAGCCTCCTCAGGGCGTCGCCCACGGAGCGGAAGCGGGTCCGGAATTCCGGGTGCAGCACCGAGCCCTGGTGCTTGTGCAGCTGCTCCAGGAGGCTGCGGGAGGAAATTCCCAAATTACGGACACCATTCCCACTTTCCCGGCCGCCACACCCACAAAAATCCCAACGTTTCCCCCAAAATTCCCACATTTCCCCCCAAAATTCCCAC